TTTATTGAAAGAGACTTAGAATTGCTACACATGTCAGAGGTTGCACCCCTCTGGAGCAATGGTGTCCCACGCCAAAGGCAAGCATCTTATCTATACACCATCAACACCAGCCTACCAGTAACCCTGACAATTTGTTTGTTTTTGGATTTACATTTTTCTTCTGCCTGTTTGTTTTCGATAGTTGTTTCTTTTTGACTTCCAGTGAAGCTCTGCCCCTGCTGAACAACTATTGACTTTGGTGTCACAGCAAAGAGTACATTAACAACATTCACATGAGATTAGGCACATGACATTTGATAAAAAAAGATGTATTTACAAGGTTTGCGAACACCACCTATGTGACTAGGATGTTCATTAAACAAACAATACTCTGCAGAAAAGTATAAAAGAACTGCTCTCTATGCACACATGCAGATCATAGCTGCTTCCAGGGTGTTTGAAAACTACAAGGTAGGTCTTTGAATGGATTAGTAACTGACATTCATTATCTTTTCTACCATATGTATATTTTTTGGCCATTAAATAACTGATAAATTCAGGTACCTCTTCACATTGCAGATAGGTAATGACAAGCTAAAAATCCCTTAATAAATATCTTCATAACAAAAATGAAAATGTCTTAGGTAAAATTGTTGTTTTGTTGTTATAAAGTTTCGGATTTGAGAGATGTAATGCAATTTGAAATGGATAGTATATTGATGCTACTTATTCATCAAATATTAACAAAATAATTCTGAATGAGAACAAGGATGAGCAACAGCTTGAGAGGCTGATAAAATATCTACTATTCCCAGCAATGGTGCTAAAACCTTGATTTAATTAAGTACATAATATGAATGTACAATAATGATTGATGTATTTGGGTTATGCCTAGTTACTATTACAGATCAATGATAAAGTTATAAATTTGTACCAATATTCATTTTTCAGAAAGGTCTGAATGTGCATCAGATCCAGGGGGAAGAGTTTGTGATACAATCCTTAACATTCCTGATACTGAAGATTGTTTTTTTTTTTATGTTAGGAAAAGATTGTGGTCATGGTTAACAGAAACATTTATGGTGATACTCTCTTTTGTGATCTTGATGTCTTGGTCAGGTAAGGGATCTTATAAAGGCAAGTTAGATCTAAATTTAAAAAAAAATTACTTAAAGGCGGGTGGGAATTTATCTACGAGCAAAAACATTTGATATAGATGGTGATCGCTATGTATGTTTTAAACTGTCTTTTAATACAAAGAATTCAAAAAACAAACAAATAAAAAGAAACCAACATTTACCAACATATCCCATAGTGAAGCCTGGCACTGTGCACAACTCAACAGTAGACAAGGGAACTGTGGAGCTAGTGATGTGTTGGCCGCGAACGAGTCAGCTCTATGAGCCGGCTCTTTGAAGTAACTGATGGCTAGCTCCCGTCACTGCATATTGTAAGATATGGCATTACTGCACTCATCTGTAAAAAAAAAAATTATATTTTTGCACTTCTGGTTAGATGCTTCTGTATCCGTATTCTGCATAATGACAATAAAGTTTTAATCTCAGCAGAAGTGGTCCTAAATGATGAGCCGTCCTATCCCATCACTATGAGGAGCTGAAGTTAGTCTCAAAAGTGCCTGTAAATGGCATATTATTAATAGCTTTTTCATTGTTTAAATAGACATTTCAAACAAGCTTTAGTTTGATCTTGACCTCCTCCCATTGCGTGCAAAAGGGCCTCATAAGCTATTATGGTCTGTTTTTTGGGATCTTTTTTAATCCATAGACACCTCAGACCAACTATACATTCATTTGGGCGTCCTCCTAAATGTTTTTGACAGGTTATGCACCTTGTGAAGACATGAATGTGTGTGTTTTATTTGCCTGAGAGAAATAAAAGTAAAAAAAATAAACATTATCCTAGCAACACCTATTTTGTTCACCTGGCAAAACTGTTTCACAGATGAAAAAAAAGGAACTCAGAAAGATAATCCTGGCAAAACTGTCATTAAGACATAAGCAGAGGAAAGAAAACAAATTAAGATCAGACTTTTTTCCACTTGCCTCTCAGGGCTTCCACACAACTATGCTTCTGACGTGTATTTTTTCACTAACCTCACATTCAATTTCATCTTTTGTGTTCCATGTTGACCATTATCAGTTACACAGCTTTAATTTAGACTCAGTTCAGACTTTACTGTTACAGTTAACGATGTCTGTCTGTGGTCTCTCTGGGTGCTTCGGCTTCCTCCTGTAGTCCAAAGACATGCAGGTTAATTGGTGACTCTATATTGCCCTTAGGTGTGAGTGTAGACAGAAACAGTTATTTGGTCATGTGTATGAAGATGAAAATAGTATGTAGAGGTGGACATTAGGTGAGCTTCTTTCCTGATCTTTAAATTTTGAAATTAGTTGTTCTTTGTCTTAAAAGTACATATGAATCTTATGTATGTGTGTAAATATATGCAAATGTCTTTAAATCATGGTCTAATAACTAAAAAATAATATCAGTGTTACATAGAAATGTGGTGAACTTTCTCTACAGGATGATTTCTCCAGGTGTGGTCTTTGTCTTATTGGCTGTTCTGGGACAGACAAGTGGCTTTTCTGGTGAGATAATTTTTTAATGTTTTCAATCAAAAAGTTGATATTTCTCCATTGACCAATTTTAGTTTTTAAATAAATAAGGAATTTTTTAAGAGGGCCAGTTCACTTCAATAAATCAAAACAAAGCAAACGCACATGCACACAACTTAGGGCTGGACGATATGATCTAAAATCAAAATCCCGATTAAATAAACACTTACGATTAATTAACAATTGTTTTGTTTGTATTTTTGCACTAGTTCACTGACAAGGTTGGTTGGCTGTGAATATGCTTAACTATTAAAAGCGGGATTTTTTCTTTGATTCACAGATATCAAAAATCGATTATCTAAATAGTAATTGATAATGTAATTGATAATGACAAACATTTCACCCGATTATTAATATCAATGCGCTGCTAATGATTTTTACATGCATTACTGCATTTTTACAGCGTTTGACTAACTTCCTGTCCTCATTCTTCACAGAACATCTACGTGACAGGTTCTGGTATGAGAGTAGTAGTAAGTGAGGTCTTTTAAGGGCAGTGCAATGTAGCGTGTGTGTGGGTGAGCAAATGTGAGGAGCAAGCAACAGAAAATGATGGTGAAACTGAGTACGTTGTTGGACTGGCACTAAATGTACATGTAGGTCAGAGTCAGTCTGTTAATAAAATGTTGTTTCTCCAGCTGCTGGAAAATGAAAGAGATTAGTGCAAGCTAACATCTCCCTATGCTTCAAATTGCTGTCTGGAATCTAAACATGACGGGAAGGGGCGGAGTCACATGACTATACACACGGTGGTGTTTAAGGGGAAAGTACATGAACAACATGATGAACACTAACAGTGTGGAACATGATTAGAACAATTAAATAACCAACATGTTAAAATTAGTTTGGTTGGAGGTTCTGAGTTTTGGATTTGATTACTTCTGTCAGGATCCTGATGAGTGCACGGAGCCCAAACACAAGACACTAGAGAGCCGACGTCAAGTTCAGGATTTTAATCCAAACCAAAAACAAGCATTAAAGCTTACAGGTTGCAAAGACTGGTACATCCAAAATGATGAACATGTAGTTCCAAGAACAGGCAGGACACACATCACACTACACATGACAAGAGGCAGGAAGACAGAGTAATAACTGAGGGAACAGACGGAGCACTTGTACTGGCAGACATGGGGCAAAATAATAACCAACACAGACAGAACACATGTAACGAAATACCAGACAAGAATCTAACTCAGACAATAACAGAAACCCATGTAAACAGACAAACGCCGACCAACTATAACACAGGGATCATAACAGACAAAACCTAAACGAGAACCCAGAACTAGAACCCAGAGTACCGAGCAGACTAAACCAAAATGATGCAGAGAAAGAACTAGAAGCAAATACTACAACATGAACTAAGGCACAGGACTAGGAACAAAAACCAAGACTCCCCAACAAGACACACAGACAGGACTGAAACCCAAAACCCAGACACAGAGAAAACAAAATCAAAACACAAAGAAGATATAAAATAATATAATCCAGACAAGCCCAGGACAGGATCGAGACAACTTGATCAATTTATCGTCCAGCCCTAATGCAATTTTTAACGTTAAGCCATGCAAATATAACAGTTGTGATATAAAAATGTTTTCACAATGTTTACAGTTCAAAATAAATATTGTATACTAATTGTAATTTCTTTAGTATCCTTGGTCAAATCATGTAATACTTTGGTGGAGGTCACTGATCAGCCTTCAGGTAACACTGATCCAACTGCTTATTTGTACCATCAATAGTGTCCAATAGATGCCTCTGAGCAGATAATGACAGTATAAGTTCAAATAAATATGCTGACTGTTCTTTAGTAGCTTCGGTCAGATCAAACCATGTAATACTAAGTATGAATTTCTCAAACTATCTTAAATAAAACATTTTACGACTCTGCCTAGATACAAATATTGCTAAAGGTGGGAAAGCAACTCAGTCCTCGCTGTTTGAGAATGCTGTCCCTGAAAGGGCCGTTGATGGAAATCGTGCTAGCAACTGGCCGGAGGGTTCCTGTACACACACACAAAAGGATCAAAATCCATGGTGGAGTCTGGACCTCCTGAAAACGTATAAGATCAACACTGTCACAATCACCAACAGAAAAGATTGTTGCCCCGAAAGGCTCAATGGTGCTGAGATCCGCATCGGAAATTCCATCATCGACAACCGCAATGCTAATCCCAGGTAACAGACCTTTGTGTCTTAAAGTAGGTTTAAATATTCAACACTTCTAGTTATATGAAATTAGTGCACTGGATATCTACTTAATTCCAAACAGAAATCAATATTTAGGACATCAGTATTTAAACAGAACTACTGCTGAGATATATGCTTACTGTTCATCTTTTAAAATTATTTTACAAATACTTGTGTTTTCTTATTCATCAGATGTGCAGTGATCTCATCTATCGCTGCTGGGGCCTCACAAACCTTTGTTTGTAATGGAATGGAAGGCCGTTATGTAAACATTGTGATTCCTGGAAGACAAGAATACCTGACACTGTGTGAGGTGGAGGTCACTGGTCAGCCTTCAGGTAACACTGATCCAACTGCTGATTTGTACCATCTATAGTGTCCAATAGATGCCTCTGAGCAGATAGAGGCAGTATAAGTTCAAATAAACATGCTGACAGTTCTTTAGTAGCTTTGGTCAGATCAAACCATGTAATACTAAGTATGAATTTCTCAAACTATCTTAAATAAAACATTTTACGACTCTGCCTAGATACAAATATTGCTAAAGGTGGGAAAGTGACTCAGTCCTCGCTGTTTGAGAATGCTGTCCCTGAAAGGGCCGTTGATGGAAATCGTGCTAGCAACTGGCCGGAGGGTTCCTGTACACACACACAAAAGGATCAAAATCCATGGTGGAGTCTGGACCTCCTGAAAACGTATAAGATCAACACTGTCACAATCACCAACAGAAAAGATTGTTGCCCCGAAAGGCTCAATGGTGCTGAGATCCGCATCGGAAACTCCCTCACTGACAACGGCAATGCTAATCCCAGGTAACAGACCTTTGTGTCTTTGATTAGGTTTGAGCATTTAACATTTGTTGTGTAAGTTAGAGGAAATTAGTGCACTTGAGATCTACATCATTTCCGAACAGTAATATTTCACCATAACATCAACAGTATGCAAATACAACTACTGCTGAGATCTATGCATAACATTCACTTGGTAAAATTATTTTACAAATACTTGTGATTTCTTATTCATCAGATGTGCAGTGATCTCATCTATCGCTGCTGGGGCCTCACAAACCTTTGTTTGTAATGGAATGGAAGGCCGTTATGTAAACATTGTGATTCCTGGAAGACAAGAATACCTGACACTGTGTGAGGTGGAGGTCACTGGTCAGCCTTCAGGTAACACTGATCCAACTGCTGATTTGTACCATCTATAGTGTCCAATAGATGCCTCTGAGCAGATAATGACAGTATAAGTTCAAATAAACATGCTGACTGTTCTTTAGTAGCTTCGGTCAGATCAAACCATGTAATACTAAGTATGAATTTCTCAAACTATCTTAAATAAAACATTTTACAACTCTGCCTAGATACAAATATTGCTAAAGGTGGGAAAGCGACTCAGTCCTCGCTGTATGGGAATGCTGTCCCTGAAAGGGCCGTTGATGGAAATCGTGCTAGCAACTGGCCAGAGGGTTCCTGTACACACACACAAAAGGATCAAAATCCATGGTGGAGTCTGGACCTCCTGAAAACGTATAAGATCAACACTGTCACAATCACCAACAGAAAAGATTGTTGCCCCGAAAGGCTCAATGGTGCTGAGATCCGCATCGGAAATTCCATCATCGACAACCGCAATGCTAATCCCAGGTAACAGACCTTTGTGTCTTAAAGTAGGTTTAAATATTCAACACTTCTCGTTATATGAAATTAGTGCACTGGATATCTACTTAATTCCAAACAGAAATCAATATTTAGGACATCAGTATTTAAACAGAACTACTGCTGAGATATATGCTTACTGTTCATCTGGTAAAATTATTTTCTTATTCATCAGATGTGCAGTGATCTCATCTATCGCTGCTGGGGCCTCACAAACCTTTGTTTGTAATGGAATGGAAGGCCGTTATGTAAACATTGTGATTCCTGGAAGACAAGAATACCTGACACTGTGTGAGGTGGAGGTCACTGGTCAGCCTTAGTATCCAGTTTACTTTAAAGCCTATTAATTCAAACTTTCTGCTTCTTTTCCTTCAATAAAGTGTGCTTACTTGTCAATGACCTGTGCGTCTATGTTTACAGACATGCTGGTAGGTTACAAAGAGATTTTGTTGCTTTACACCAGAAATGTTGTGTTTTTCACACAGCAGACGAACAGTAAAAAGTCATTAATGAACAAACAAGCAGATGATTGGGGTGGCAGGGCCGGTGGGGGCAGGAGGCAGGCAGACTGAAGTAGGTGCAATATGGACTGATCTGGATTTACAAGAGTGTACACAGTTGTTTTAGGTCCCCTTACACAAGAATGGAAAGAGTACTGGACTATTTTACAAGTACTTTTACTTCAAGTACATTTTACTCATGTACAAGTAAAATTTCTTCTGTAATAATGTATTTACATAAAAGTGAAGAAATAGGTCAGTGAACATGTATTCTGAGTCAATGTTACTGCATTACAATTTGAAAAGGTTATGTCTGTGTACATGGTAGAGGCCATTGTCCTGTCCATGGTTCAAGTAATGTACCACAGTCCTGCCATTGTACAAAAAATTGTACCTCAGATTGTTCCCGGTTTGAGGCTGGTCTGAACAGATCATCTGCCCAGCTGATCCTGTAGTGTGAGGCATTTACATATATTATCTTAATGTTACGTTACGTTACGTCAAAAATGATTGTTACACACTCACCTTTAAGATAATTCTTGTAATTTCATTCAACCACCAATGTAAATTGTTTTCTTAGATTTTTATCTTTGTCTTTCTCTCCACATACAACTCACCATCTCCTTTTTCTCTCACTCCCTCGTATTGCTTAGTTTTACATTTTTACACTGAACAAAATGATAAATGCAACACTTTTCTCTTTGCCCCCATTCATCATGAGCTGAACTCAAAGATCTAAGACTTTCTCTATGTACACAAAAGGCCTATTTCTCTCAAATATTGTTCACAAATCTGTCAAAATCTGTGTCAGTGAGCACTTCTCCTTGCCAAGGTAATCCACCTCACAGGTGGATGGATATCAAGATGCTGATCAGACAGCATGGGTATTGCATAAGTGTGCCTTAGGCTGGCCACAATAAAAGGCCACTCAAACGGTTTCAGAAGCTAAAAGTTTAATTCTGTTTCCTCTACAGAGTCCTACGATATTTGCTGTGACTTTACTGTGCTCATAGACACGTTTAAAATGACTGACAGCAGCCTTTCTAATCATGAAAGGAAATCATTAGAGAAAACACTCAGCAGCCTACTAAATAAAGAAATCTGAATGAAATTTGAATGAAATTGAATTTGAATGAAAATTCAAATTTTGTCAGAGACGATCTGTGCATCACAGCAATGCAGCTGCTATAATCGTGACTAAACGAGTGCAAACAGCTGCTGACATCAACTTATTAGGCTGTAATGTCAACCAGAGCATTCAGCAGTGATCTGCTGTTTTTATATTAGTGCTCACTATGTAGTCTACGCATGTCATTCCACCTGCATAGTCCTGTGATCAGTGTTGGGAAGGTTACTTTCTAAATGTAATCGGTCGGACTGTCACTTTAAAATCACAGATCCATGAGCAGCCTAAACTGTGTCTAATCTGTTCCATTAATATTTTCATCTTCAGTTAGGCTATTGTCAGCGGCATTTAGTCCCGTCAGGTTACAGCTGAATAAACCTCCTTGTAGCTATTTAAAACAAATAACAGGCTGTAGGAGGATCCCAGCACTTTATCATTCATTAATGAAATTCCAGTCTGGTAAATGATGAATGAACAACGCTGTATAAATGCGCTTCCATCATGCTCAACATACTCTGAGCTGACTGAACTTATTCTGATCGGCCTTTCTGAAACGGAAAACTCGGAGTTTGACAGCTCAGAGTTCGTCAACCCAGAGTTCAGGTTTACACTCAGAGTTTGTTGAACCTGCTTTCTGAAACGGGGCCCTGGTCTTCAACAGACAGCAAGAATCTATAATCGGTAGGGTACTATTTTAACATGGGCATCTCCATAAACAACTTTTCAACAACACATACAAACAGCCACATGTGCAGCGCTGGCAGGAGTCAAACACTAGTTGGCTTTTCCTCTGCCAACACCTGTGTCTGATTGCACCTGCCTTATTTAAGTGGATGAGCACCCATTCTGACATACCAGGACCCGGGTGCCACCTACTGGCCAAACTGTGGTATAATCATTTAAATGGCTCCTACACCTCTAATATAAAACTGTTCTTTTAAAGCAAACAAACCTTTTGTTTCATAAACTGCATCATGGAATTTTCTGGTCACCATCCTCACGCTGTTCAGATCTCATATTCAGGGTTGAGACACTGATGGTGGGTGGATGGTGGGTGGTGATGAGACAGTGGAGAAGACGCTTGCCTTTGGTGTGAGAGACCTGGGGTCACTCCCCCGCTGTGATACGTCCACCATTGTGTCCCTGAGCAAGATACTGAACCCCTATTTGCTCCGTAGGCCTGTGTCCTCTGACATTAATAGTTAATTTTTGTAAGTTGCTTTGGATAAAAAAGCGTCAATGAATAAATGTAAATGCAATACCAAGGTACGAAGACTCTGGTACTATGCTACTGTGCGCTTTTCCGGAGCTATCTGTTACAATACTTGATGAAACAAATGATGGGATGCTGCTGCAGTGTGAAGTTCTTGGTGCTTTTCCTAAACCTACAGTAGAGTGGCAGGACAGTGCTGGAAACGAACTTCCTGCTGAGGAGCCACAGGTCTCAGAAAGAGGAGGCAGCTTCTACATCACTGTCAACACTACTGTGATGAAGACCGACCGCTATCGCTGTGTAGCCACACAGGAGGAGATCAAACATCAGATTCATACCTATGTGCATATCCATGGTAATTCTTTGCATCTCTGCATGTGTGGAAAACATTTTAAACTGAGTGAAAAATACCATTTATTTATATGGTAATCCTGGTTCTGCAATCACACGAGATATTCCCTTTGGATTGTACTGAAGTAGAAGTATAAAGTAGCATACATTGGAAATACTAAAGTAAAGTACATGTACCTAACAAACAGTACTTAAGCAAAGTACACATGTAATTGTGCCCTTGTCTGCCAATAAACTTTTTGTTTATCTGAGTGGTGGTCAGCGTTCTAGTTTTTACTTGACAATGTAAACTTGTATTTAGTACCTATTGCAAAATATATATAGATTTGTTGATCAGATATCTATTAGTTCTAGAGAAAAGGGTTGTGCGTTCTGATTTTAATGATACGGTTAGACTCATGCTGTGTCCTTAGAGGTAAACTGCCTGTAGCCACCAGCAACATCTGATCACTGAAAGCTAATTATGATAAATAACAATGTTTGCAGATGTAGAGATCACTGACCTCAAAATCAAGCCTTGTCTAGTTTCTCCTGATCTGTCTTTAGGGTCGGACTCTGTGGGTCACGACGCAAACGGCACATTTTAAATAGAAACTGTGTTCAGTCAGACTCTACCACTGCAGTAATGGCAGCACGCTACAGATCACAACTTGGCTTGATAAAAGCTAAGTATAATATATACTGTAATGATTTTTTTGTGTAGGGCTGCAACTAACAATTATTAAAATTTTTGATTCATCTCTATTCTTTTTTCCAATAATTTAAATATTTTGTTTATAAATTGTCAGAAAATTGTAAAAAATAAAATAAAATAAAAATGCTTTTACTATTAATGTTCATAGATTTTAAGGGTAGTTCTGTGTAGGTAATAACCAGTGTAATAAAACCTGTGTTCTCCACCAGGTGAGCTACTGGGGCCCCCGTTATGTTGGTGGTTACATTCATAAAAAATCCCACTGAGCCTTGATATATTTATGAGGCCTCTTGTTCTCATTCAAAAATAGCTGTTAATAAATAACTGTCCACTAAATGGATGTTGTCCTTTTGATTTCCCAAAATGTCCAGTAAGTGTAACAGATCTTTGAACATCATTCACTTCTTGTTTTTCCATTTTGTCTCTGGAAACATTTGAAAAGTCCTGAATATTCTGCCTGTCTGCTGATACTGACCACCATTTAAATGATCTGATTATCTCCTGAAGTGCATTTGTAAAAACAAACTGTCTGTGCTGTTATGGCCTGATTCTCAAATGGGTGGAGGAGGCTGTGGAAGATCAGCAGTTCAATCCCCGGCTCCTCCAGGCTGCATGTCCTTGGGCAAGATACTGAACCCCGAATTGCCCCTGGTGGCTGTTCCACCTGTGTATGAACGGTAGTTTCTGTTTGAGCACTTAGGTTTAGTGTATGAATGTAGTGTAAAAGCACTTTGAGTGGTTGGAAAGATGCAAATACTGAACATTGATTCTTAAAATGATTGAATACACTTGAAAATGTCTCTGTAATATTCTGCATTGAAACATCAGCTCTGAGTCAAAGCTCGCTCATCGTTTGTGTTTGTTTGAAACTAACTAACTAACTAATAATAATATAAAACTAATGAAATATATACAAAGGGACCTGTTGGCAAAAAATACTTTTAATAAAGCTGAATTTTTCTCTCATCTTCTGTGTGTGTGTGTGTGTGTGTGTGTGTGTGCAGGTCTACTGAAACAGACAATATAGATCATTAAGGTTTAAGACACTAGAGGGCGACACTACAACAAACTTAGAGAAACTACAGCATGACAGTCAATAATCAGAGTTAGATATTAATTTCTAAATTGTACACCAGCGTGGAGGTTGACTCACCACTGCTGTCTGATTTATTACACATAAGAACAATTAATGACTGATTAAGGAGTCAGTGACTATCAGCCAGAGTTCAGATCTGAGCAGCAGCTGATCGAAGCAAACAAACCAACATTTACTCAGAACCTCTGACAGGCTGCAGACTCAGTGTGATGTAAAGTTTAACCAAAGGAGTTTTTCCAGCTGACTGGAGGACACAGAGACCGAGTAGTATTCAGTATTTCAGTAGGAAGAAAGCAACGTTCAGGAAACATCAGTATAATAGAAATAATCCTGTACTGTGATCCCCAACAACCCGGGCTGAGATACACTGCTCTGAAGGGTTTTAATCTGACATGGAAAGGTTTGGAAATCCTGGATTT